CTGAATAAGCATAAAAATATTAATAATCTCAAAACAAATGTTTCATCAAGACATAATTTCTAAACTATAATTTTTCACAAATTTTGGTAAGTTAATTTGATTTTTAATAAATATTTTATAATATATTCTTTTTTGTGTTTGGCACAGTAAGTGATGGAAAATAAACATGGCAAGCTGTCTAAGTTGAAGGACGTACAAAATATAGGACGACCAAACAGAAATGTAACAAACCATTAATTTAGTAATTATGGTTTTTGTAGTGCCAACAATTTGTGGAAATGAAGTCTAGAGAAGTGAGATTAATGTAGGATAATCTGGAGAAGTCTTTATTGATTAAATTGTAACTAATATTACCACAATAATTTTATTGGGTAAACATGATGTGCAAGGTACTTGACCTCATTCAATCATTATAAAGTCTCTAAAGACAGAAATTAACATTTGCATTTAGGTGAAGAGATGAAATTCCAAATGTGGAATTCACTTAATCTCTCATACATAGTAAATGAAATATGTGGCATGTGAGCACAGGTTCATGCAACCGAAAGCTTGATACTTACCCACGTTCACATGTAAAACTTCCAAAAAAGTATTACCTGAAAATTTAAAATTCCACTTTGCCTCCTTAAAGATAACTTAAGAAACCAAATCCTTTTCTATAATTATTTTGTGCATTTATGTTGGTATAAAATTTGTATTTGTATTGTTTCCAGGATCTTTAAGTATTGATTTTATATTTGGTATATTTGTTTACATTATGTCCTAAATGAATTAATTTATCGAAATTATTTTATTTGTTTATTTATTTACTTTATTGTATTTCGGGCTCTATGGTACATGTGCACATCCTGCGTGCTGTCTCCATTCCCTCCACCAAGTCCTGTTGCCTACATCAGGCATTTCTCCTGGTGTTAACCATTCCCATCCTCCTCATCCCCTACTGTCTCTCCCCTCCTCCTCCCTCCACGCCCCCACCTAGCCCAGTGAGTGTTGTTCTCTTCCCTGTGCCCAAGTGTTTTCATTTTTCATCACCCACCTATGAGTAAAGACGTGGTGTTTGGTTTTCCCTTTTTGTGTCAGTTTACTAAGAATGATGGTTTCTAGATTCATCCACATCTCTGCAAAGGACATGAACTTGTTTTTTCATGGCTGCATAGTATTCCATGGTGTATATGTGCAACAATTTTATTTTAAGTAGCATTTTTACATAACAGTTCTGGATGATGAAAATGGTTTTAAATTTTCCCTTTCAATATATTTTTCCCTACAATTTAGAAAGCATTGAATTATATGACAATTGGTCTGTAAAACATCCAGAAATTAAAGTCCATAAAACTATTATTATATGTGAAAAAATGCATACAGAAATGGTTGAAAAGGACTAAACCAGATATAATCTATGAGATTAACAACATTATAGGTACTGAGTTTAATGGGTACTCAACTTTGGGGATATGGTAAAATTTAATGACTCTAAACAAGAAAGATTTTGAATAACATAGTCAGATATCAGTGTCAGGGTATTTATATGTTGTTAAATCAGATAAGGTATATATGGCAGACAAAAAAAGGGTCTTACCCTCACAGGACACATGTTGCAAACTGAGAACAGTATTAGTCTCAGATGGTGGTAAGTCTTTGATCAGATAAGGTATACGTGGCAGACAAAGGAGGGGTCTTACCTTCCTTAGTCTTGTGTCTGCCATATATACCATATCTGATTTAATACTTGGTGTTAAATCAGTTAAGGTATATATGGTACAAAATGGAAGGGTCTTACCCTCACAGGACACATGTTGCAAACTGAGAATATTTTTGGCCTCAGGAGTTGGTGGTAAGCCTTTGATCTTGGAGGGACATAGTGGCCTATTAACAGCATCAACTATGAGAGTGCATATAATCAAGAGGTCATGATGACAGATAAGCAGCAGTTTTCTTTGTGTGGTAGCACTGCTCACAATAGGTTTCCTAAATCGAGATGATGCTAGTTGGAAATCAATCACCACTCACGAGAAAGATTTTTGCTGTTAATGAACTGAGATTAACATAAACCTATGCCAAATTTATCTTCAGCAAGGGTTGCCACTTTATGGGCTGAAAATCTCCCGATAGTAACAAGTACAAAGCTGATTAACAAGACAGTTTAGACTTAATTATTAAACAGTGTGAAAGATATCTTCAGAATTTCTAACTTGCTGTGACTAATTTTTTTTATTCAATACATGCCAGCAACAGCTTTTTTCATCGTTATAATAATAAAAATCTTACCTTTATATTTAAAATAAAATATATGTCTTTTGAATCTTTGGGATTAATGTTTTACATAGATTTTGTATATCTGTAGGATACATTTTATTTTTTAAGTAGGCAGAGAGGTATATCACACTGAAAATGTTTAAAACGTTTTGCAGATGTGTGAAGCTGGGAATCATTTCATCAATGTAATACTGTCTCATCCCAATCACACAGGTTAGAACCTTTTTCTTTTCTTTTCTTTAGAGTGAACTACGTTAATAATTATTTTTATAACCTTCAAAAATCTTTAAAAATAAAAAAATTAATAGCTGGAAATATGTATGCCACATTTTCCCTTTTATGTCTAACTTTTCCAAATATTTGACCAAATCATATTCTCTAATAATGATTTATCTAAAATAAAGCGTGCCTGC